TATATCAAGTGAGTAGATCGAGGACGCTACAGTTGCTGGAAGCATGAGTTACAAGACAATATTAATTGATTAATTAAAATAATGCAATAGAATTAACATCAGACTTAACTGCACTTTATTTGCAACAACTAAAAAGTTGGTTCCTTTTCTAATTATCTGCTTCATAGCCGTATTTTTGATTGAAGAAGCTTAGAACTTCATTTTGATAACTTATTTGCTGTAAAAAAAGTATTTACAAAATTCACAAAAGTCAAATTTTGTTTATAATTAAAGCCTTAAAATAAAGCCAAAAAAACTTTGATTTTGAGATTTTTTCGATCAATTCAAAAAAATCTTTTTTTTTTAATTCTTGTAAAAAAATTAACTAAATCATCTGTTTTTACTCAGTTTGTAAAATTTCTAATGATAACAAAAAATAGTTTTTAATAAAGTGTGTTTGAACGGTTTTCTAGATGTGCTAATTTTTTATTCTTGCTTTAATAAAACATATGCGCAATTTTATGGTAAATGGATAAACAAAAAACTGTTTCACTTATGGAGTAATTAGAGAAATCTGCCAATCTGACAACATAACATATTACATTAGCGGGCGCCGAATACATGGATGCATCGGGGCGGATGTCCCACTGAAATATTTTAATTATTGAAAATAACGTAGCGTTCTTTAAAATCTCTTTTAATGACAAATATGTCTTAAATTTTCTATTATTCTATCTTCCCCTTCGAGAAAATGGATCAAATTTATCGTTTATGTTATTCTATTTTGTTTTTCCATTTTTCAAATTAATTTAAAATTCAGCTTTTTAGTGAAAAACTCCTTGAAAATAGATTTTATCATCTTAAATACTTTAAAACGACAAAACATTTTACATAAACTGAAGGAAACAGAAAAAATTCTAAAATAGGTACTTTGGTGATTTTTGAAAAACTGTACCTCAATGAAAAATGGTCGTATTTAGATAAAAAAAAAACATTTTGAAGCATTTATTTATTTATTCTAATTTTATTGAGATCTTTTGTCAAAACATTTTCTGAGCTAACGCGAGAAAAAAATTGTAAGTTTTTATTTTTTTGGTCCACGGATTTGGGGAAAATTTTATTAGTTGAATCATTCAGCTTCAATTTGCTTTTTTATGTTCACTTTACGTTAAATTGTCCCGTAGATATTTCTTTTAATGAAAAATTTTTTTTTGTCTTTAATCATCGATATCTCAGTAACCAATGACCGCACATTGAATGTAAGAACAGTTTCAAAAACTGGAATAGATTTCCTACAAAATGTTTTTTATTTTTTTTGAATCTACCGCGTATTCACATATATTGATAGAAAGACTAATGTGGCCAGATTTTTTACAGCCCCAACTTTGTTAAATTTTAAATCGATCCATCAAACTCTTTTCTCGGACCGATTGATCAAACTTTCACAAAAGAAAATTTGTAAACAATATTGACTAATTTTTGAGACCATCCAGCTTTTGCATACTCTAATTTTACACTTCTCAAATTAATGCATTAATTAAAAGTTGATACCCCCAACCTGTTTTCAACACTCGATTTACGAACATTCATGCAAATTTTCAAAAAAACTCAAATTGTTTTTAATTGTTACCAAATTTTTTTTTTCAAATTTGTTTTATATTTATTTTATTTCCAAATTTTTCAAATTTATTATTAACTCAACAATTTGAAGCATTATGCAACTTGGAATATGTACTATTTTCTTTACACTTTTTATTATATACATACATTAACCACTTTTATTTTTTATTGTTATTTATTAATTTCTTTTGTACTATACGAAAAATCATATTGTCAGCAAAATTGAGAAGAAGAAATCGTTTTTTCGCGTAATTGATTTCAAGTCCTGCAAGTTATAACATATGTTCAGAAGATCTGAAAATAATCTTTTTATGTTATTTGTATTGCTTTAAAGACGATTAATTTACCAAGTTTGTTTATGCACCTATTGAAAATATGAAAAGTCGGCGCCCATAATTAAATTTGTAATTAGCTAATTTAAAAAGGCATTTAAGCTCGAAGAGTCTTCATAATGACGTTGGTAAAAATTATCTGTCAGGAGACGGATTGTATCAGTAATAATGTCGCTATTACATTTTTTTAATTTTGTAATATCCAAGATATGCGTATATTATCGCACTGCTCTTTTATCAAAAAAGTAATAATGGATTTACCGTATTCTAAAAGAGCTATTATTCTTTGCTTGTTAAGATTTTTGCTGTCGTGTGCGCAACACAGGAAAATTTCGGTAAATGTAATCGTTTTTTACACTGCTTTTCTTTTTGTACTTGGTCTATAATTTTGTGATGAAATTGGCTATGGACTGGTTCCAAGACCAGTTCGATGGAATTGTTCGCATAGTAAAGAAGGTTTTTGGGCTAGATTGAAAATGGTGTTTGTTGGAAACTGCTAGGGAGCTATTATAGTGAAGATTGAATTAATAATTTAAGTCGTTCCATTTGCGTGGCCGGCGAAAGGATTCTTTAACACAGGGAGAATTCGCGAGCTGTGGATTGGTAAGCGGAATCAAGGGGACCATTACATCTCTGGCTAATCCTTGCACTCACTCTAACCTCATAAAGGCTTCACCTTCACTTTTCTTTAGTGTGTGATGTTACCGACGGACTTTACGACTGTTTTAAATTACATTCCAGGCTCCGTAACAAGTCGGAAGCCTTAAACTTTCCGACTGGCCAATTTTTCAGACGATTCCAATTATAAAAAAAAATATTGAGTGTCCGTGTTTTATACGAAAGAGCGGAATTAAGAAATTATTTAGATTTTTTTAACATTTGGGTGGTGATTATCTTTACTTTGTCAATAGGAATCGACGCCATGAAAGCTACCTATTTTCCGTATTTTCTACTATTGTGTGCTTTGTTCAAAATTTGGGATAGCTTTTGTTATTTCTGTTCTCCTAAGAGTGTTTCATTCTGGTGTTAATTGTTTGTTGGAGAGTATTAATACGAACGGCGGCTGTATAATAAATTGGGCCGGGATTGAATAGAACTGAAACGCCGGAAAATTCACAGAATGTAGCGTTTCTAGTAGACATTTGATTAGATCAAATCCACGGATCAAATCGATATAACGAGCGGCTAATTTTAGTCTTATACATATATGCACAAACTTACTGAAAACATTCCATATTCAGTTCCTCGAACAAGGATTCAAGCCTTTTCAGAGCTTATTGACAACCACCTGAACGAATACTTGTTTACATAGTTATACATGATATATCTTTTGTACGATTTGCACAAATGTACCTTTTTTCAATGCAAATGTCAACAGGAACTTTTATTAAAATCTTGTTCTTGTTAAAAATCACAAATCAATTTGAGAGTACGTGGATTAACTTTCAACTTAAAATACAAATCTGTATTTTATTGCCTCCCTAAATTTAATTAGGTAACGTCATTTTATCGGAATATACAGTTTGTGATGGATTATTATTTCTTACATTACACAATTTACAAAAACAAGATCAAAGTAAAATTATTTTATGCGTCCGTTTCGTAAAGGATGCGTTGTTGTAATCATTTTTGCAACAGGCTAGTTATTTATATTCGCGTGTGGTAACTTACATTTTACGGGGCGAAATTAATTTATAAAATCTTGTGAATAATTTTTTTTTGCATTTTGTTTTAAAAAGCCTCTAGATTGAAGATATGGCCTTGAAAGTATGTGCAAATGTAAAAGTAACTATAAACACTAAAACAATAAACAAAACACGGCGTCGTCGGCGCCGTACAATCGGTAGGCTGGAAGCAGGGGCGCAGAGCGTCCCAGCGAACTGAAGAGAAAAAAACACAATCGATTAAAATTGTAAACGTAGAACTCAAAATGTTGGATAGGCGTTTTTATGGAGTTTTTAAGCATGAATTAAATATCACAATTTAAAATTCCAAAATAAAATTGTAACGTACCACCAACGTACCTAAACGAAAAATAAATAATACTTTATGATGCGATTTTTACCTTGTGCGTTTTTTCCTTGTGCGCTTTTTTCCTCGTGCGCTTTTTTCTTGGTGCGTTTTTTTCCGTGAGCGCTATTTTTCTTGTGCGCTTTTTTCGTGTGTTTTTTTCTTTGTGCGCTTTTTTCTGTGCGCTTATTTCCTGTGCGCATCTGTCCGGTCATCTTGTTCGTTCACAGTTAAATTTTTATGGAAGCTTTGACGCCGAATTTAAAAAAACACCTGTTATTTAAAAAAAAGTTTAAGTTTAATAAAGTTGTGTTTGACTATTAAGTCAATTTTATAAGTTGATGTTTTACGACAGGGGATTCACCGAAAATATGGGACTATGCAACATGAAATCTGATTTATATTTAATATGAAAATGTTGGTAATAATTAGATGTTTAATATAATACTTCAGTCAATGTTGTTAAACGTGTAGGTGAATATATGTAAATAAACGTATTTAATTTAGTTTAAAATTTATTATACGTGAAAATTATTGCATATGCAACCAGTTATACACAAATTTGTAGTTTGACCACAAGCTACTTTATAGCGCTGTTCTCGCTAATTTTTAAAAAAGCAAACAAGCAAGCTTTTGTACATTTTTTGTGGCTGTGGCTGATTTTTGATTCAATATTTTGTGCCATAAGTGATTTTTTGTTCTATTTTTTTGTTGCTACTAGTAATTTTTTTTTTTAATTCAATGTATGCTTAACAAATTTATAACAATGAGCTCAATCAGTTTTTTGCAATCACAAGCAAATTCTTGTTACCACAAATTTTAAAACAAAGCAGCCGTATTTATTTACTTAGTAGTAGTAGTAGTCGAGTAAAACCTCACTTTTCAGAATAGTTTCGTTTGATCTAAAATATGTTTTTCAATGTGTTTTAGAAGAGAATCGTAGAGAATGAATAAAACAACCTCATCATTATATAGCAAATATATTTAAATACTGAAGTAAACAAATTATTTTTTACAACTCGAGAATTACTTTTCAACAAAATAAGAACTGACAACCACAATTAATTTAATACCAAATGTCATCATGAAACAGAACAAAAAAAAAAGAAATATGAAAACTAATTAGAACAAAACAAAAACAACTAAACTAAAATGAACAAAAAATACAAAAATGCTGTAAATGTAACACACCACTGACTTAATTGAAAGTGAGTATATTTATTGCAGTGATGAATATTGTGATGGTGTTATATTTACTGCAATGGAAATACAATAAATAATATCAAAGTAACTATATTTTTTGGTTTAAGAGAAGCTTCTCCCATTCAATAGTATTTCCATAAACTTCTTGCTCTAGCCACAGTTGGTAGTGTTTTTTAAAACTTTCAGATAGATCATAGGTGGTCCCAAGTACGCTGTTTAAACAGTTATCCACCGGTGCAAATTCGCTGTCTTGCTGTAAGAGAAACTTATACAATAAAAATATTTAATGGGAGTAAAACAACACATACATTTGCTTGTGTATATCTACGGTTATTAAACCTGTCAACTGAAGCTCTCAAAGCACATTCTTCAGCTTGGAAATCCCAAGGTCTTGCGTCCAAATCTGCACAGGAAATGTTAAAAATGTAGGACAACTAAAAGAAGGAAAATTACCATTTCCATATGCCCAATCATCGTTCAATCTATGTCTGACTTTCTGGTAGATGGCACTAATCGTTTTCATATTAGATTTACGCCACTGACGACCCAAATATTTCGTTTGCATTTTTAATAATTTTAAAACATATAATTGGGTCATGGCATGCCTGACTTTAAGTGTGCGTTTTAAAATTGGAGCGGATTTAAAAACCACCAACATCTAAATAAAAAAAATCTGTGTTAAAAACACACTTTTTGTTTTATACGTACCATAATCCTAGAATGTTTCCACTTCGTTAGTTTGTTGAGTATTCTTAATAAATTAATACACGAAAACATATTTCTCCAGGAAAATGGTGCCGAGTCTCCAATTTCCAAACTTTCAGCTGTTAATTCTGGTTGATCACCAATAACGCAAGACGGAAAGTCTAATATAGGAATCCTAAAAAAACCGTTTTATGCAAATATGTTTATTTTTAATTCTGAAACTTACACATTCTTCGCGCCCACATAAGCCATGATATTCTGGTTAAAAAATTTCAATACCAGAGGTATACAATTTGCAAAAACTAGATGCTGAGACATGAATTCAAATTGATAAATATGATTCAACTTGAAATGTTTCAAAAGTAACAATAAAATTGCAGAAACTGCTTTAACAATAATTTCCTTGTGCCTATTTACGTCAATTCCCAATTTCATTGACTGGAGAACAGTCATTCTAAAAAATAACTTTACTTAAACTAGATTTAAGAAACTATCAGAAACTTACGGCATTTCTTCTGGCAAAACATCAGCCATAATATTAATAGAATCAGTTTTAGCTTTTGAGGTAGGAGCAGCAGCAAGTAATATTTTAAGTAAAGCTATCATGTATTGTGGTAGATTAGGCAACATTGCCTGATACAAAATTTCTGTTGGAGTCATTTCAATTTCACCCTCTGACGTCGAGAGAGGATTGCGAGCTATTTCTTCCTCTTTTTGAATTTGCAATTCAGCTAAAGAAGTATAAACATGCTGAAACCGCCAAATTAGACATTAAGATATACAAGATGCATGTACGCTACTTCTTTCAAAGTTTTAACTCCTTCATGGATCGGTAAAGGTAATCCAGCTAAACTATCGCGATCGCCTTGTAGACTATACCCGACGAATTTTAATCTAGCAGTGTCCAAAAACAAGTCGATATCTTTTTGTCGGACTTTTGGTTTCCAAGGTAAGCCGCGAGGAATAACTAAAGAACTCTGCAAAGGAGGAGATGTAGGCCTATTCTGATAATTGTTGTACATTTGATTATTTTCGGAGTTTTCGGGAGGACGACGATCGTCGTATTCTGAGAGTTCACCCAACTCGTCGCCGTTGTCCCCGCCGACGAGGGTGGCGTCTAATTCCATCCCCAACGACTCATGATCGTCCAAACTACTTTGTTTCATTAAGTTCTATAAAGTTGTCCCAAATAAATAACACCACAAGCTGTTTCAACAAAGGATAAGGACAGGTGGTGCGATTGCAATGGGACAAAGGACGCACAAGGATACATTACCAAGGACTACGTTTAGACTATTAGTTGGAGTGACAACAAAAAATAATTACAAATATCTTAAGTTCTAACGAAAATTGAATAAAGCTCAAAAAATTAACTTGCATTTAGTTTAGTAGTAATAAGAAATAAGTTGGAAAATAGCGCTGCATTTTTTCTTACCCTCCTGAATGGCCTTGTATTTCTTTTCTGATTTTGCGCCTCTAAAAGATCAGAAGCGCTCGCTGGTGGCGACGAAGCCCTCATTGTTTTAGCAATTTCCATGGTATCTTCGTCCAAACGTGGAAGACCAGCCTTTTCGCGTTTTTCATCTTTCAAATCTTTCAAAGCGGTCATACCGCCCAAAGTTACAAGAATTAATTTCCAAAGTAGCAAAAGAACTTTTTTCATAGGGAAATGAGGAGCAGCACCGCTACAAAATCGTGTCACCATTCCTAATAACTTAACAATAAGTAACTCATCATCATAGGAATTAGCTGAAAGCAAATAAGTTGAAAAAATGTTTAATGTGAAGATAAAAGTATACCAAGGTCTGTACAAAATGCTTCAACGTCGTTTTGATATTCAGTGGAACCTGAATATTTTTCATTTCTAATTACTTCAGTTATTGTGTATAACACAGATAATATAACCCGCAGATCTTGCGAATCTGCTAATGAAACGGCTATTTTTCTCATTGCAACATGGGCAGCAGTGCTATTCCTATATTTTATAAAATATGTAGTAATTAAAAATATATATATATATATAAAATGTCTTACTCAATTTCTATGTTAAGCAAATCAGTAAATGCACTAAAAACTCCTAGTTGGTAAAGCAACATGACATTGGCTCTTGCCCACTGCTGTTGCTCAGCGTCTGACTGCATTTCCGCCCAACACCCTTGAGCGATATACAAGATACATCTGGCAGCTCTCATTCTGAGAGGTTTGCTACTGACTTCCAGTTGATCAAGCAGTTTCATTACTACCGATTTTCTTTGTTCAAGGGATAACCTTTGCCAACTTGGTGGCAGGTTGTACTGCTCCATTTGGTCTTCAAAGGCTTTAACGTTGAGAGCGAGCTCAGGCTGCTCAGTGTAACTGTACAACTCGGCAATTTCATTTGGGTGGGTATCAGTATCATCGTAGATAAATTCAAGATCAGGGGAGTCAGTTCCACCACCCTACAAGAAATGTTTTGAAAAAAGGATACTAGAAGGGAAAGTTAAACAAAAGGGAGGTACGCGAGAGGAATCAGGATCATCAGGGTCATCTTCTTCAGAAACACTAGTTAATTCAGACTTGGGAGGTCTTCGATATTTCGGAAAATTTCCCTCCAATACATTTAAAACATGTTTTAGTTTTCTGATCATCTCAGCGACGCTTTGTTTACTGTAGGCCATTGTCGCGAATTTGAACAAAAAACTTTTAATCAAAAATAATCTGAAAGAAAGAACCAAAATGAAAGAAAAAACGGAAAAAAACTAAACAAGCTCATAACGGATATCTAGAAATACGCCAAATTGTCACAACAGACACAATTAACCTTAACAACTGTTTGTTGTTAACAAATCTACTACTTACATCCGAATCTTGGCGTTGTCTTCTAATAATTTCTCTTAACCTAGGTAAACCGCGCTTTCCATTTCCGTTAGGATCCATTCTGAAATAACCAGCATATTTAAAAATTTAACATTTCGTTACTTTACTGACTATTTGCAAACTAACAATTTTATGACAGTTAAACAAATTCCGCCATCTTGACAGACGTATATTGACCCACGCATCGAGCGCCACCTTTTCCACTAAAATCGGGAAAAACTTCAACAAAAAACATTTCATCTCCATATTCTGGTTTTATATAAATTAGAAACAGAAGAGAAACACCTATAAAACAAAAATAATTTTTTTACACTAATAATTTTTTGTCTGATTAAAAGAAAGTTGCTCACCAGAGAGCGCTGCTGGAAGCGGGAATTCAAAAAAAAATTTCTTTGATTTCTTACCTCACATGATAATTATAGTATAATCAAGTATATAATAATGTAATTATAACAATAAAATAATCTAAAGTGTTTGCAAAAGAAAATCAAAAAATAGCACTATTGGTATAATTTATTAACAGCATTTCTACATTTTTGGTCTTACATGATAATTACTATGACAATGAAATTAATCTTAAGTATTTACAATGGTAAACTGCAACATCCCATCACCCTTAACTTAAATTACAGACCAAGTCTAGTTGCATTTAAAAATAAATCGTTCTTATTCATTCTAAAAATGACGATGAAATTTCTGGAATGAAATGGAACTAAGGTCACTTTTAACGTATAATACAATACTATACAATAACAGGGCTACAAAATATGTATATTCTATTTATATAACATATTAACAAATAAGGACAATTGGGGTGTATAAAGTGTGCACTGTCGTGCCAACCTAAGGTAAGCTTAATTATTTTTTTAACAACGTCAAGGCTACTTCTTTTAACAATTATTGTACAACTACCTGAACAACAGTTAACCATTCATATGAAATTTAAAACATGTTAAAAATACTATTGTCATATATACATATAATATAAATTGTGTATATAAATTAGGTCTTCCTTTCTACAGGACACTAGTTTGTTAGTTACGCGTTGATGAAGTATTTTCATTGTATAATAAGCTTTAGGTCCTAAAAATTGAAGACAAACCACATGGCAGTTAAGCCCAGTATTGCAACCTGACAGAAATGGATGGTAAAACAAAAACGATTTTTTTAATTTATCACAAAAACCAACCAGAAGTTAATTCTGTTCAGGTGCAATAGTGTGGAAGACGTAACTAAACGGTGATTATTGAATAATACACAATATCACCAACATTATTCAGAAGCAGTGATAGTAATCGTTTTGCCTTTGGGGTCATCAAATCGGTCCATAGTCTTAATATCCATCATCATAGTAAGACCAAAAGTGACGATTAACAACAGAATTATTGTTACAAACAAACCGGACCAAATAGGAACTGATGTAAATCCAACGCAGTCATAAGCGTCCCCAAATGTATTATTCTTGGGAAACGGTTGAATCTATAAATCAAACTGCAAAATCGTTTTTATTGTATTGGAAAAACAAACCTGAAATCCGGGCAGAGACAATGTTGCATTTCTATCCACCGTTGATAAATTAAATGTGGAACAATGGTACGAAAAATCGCGAGGTGCGAAATAATCACTAATCCCGACTAATTGGTTCTCTTTATCTGTTTTAACACTCATTGATGTTAAATACCAGTATCCCGACACATTATTAACTTTGATAGCAAAACTAAAATTTTTTTTTAAAGCATGTAATGAAATTTTTTCCCAACCTACTTAATAGACAAGCTACTGCCGCTTAAAGTCGCTGTTATATTTTCCTTATTATCCATATCGCTGGTTTCCGACAGCATAAAACTGTTATCAATAGTGATGTTAGACCTGAAGATTTTGTCACAGTTTCGTTACACAATTAATTATTAACTTACGTATCCTTATTCACTTTATATGATCCTTTGTCGCTCAAATACAGCAAAAGGTGAGCTGAGGAAAACCTGATACCAGTATCTTTCTTTTCTTCTGAATCTTCTAACTGTAGCAAGCTTCTGGATCTGGAATGGGTAATGTCCTCAGGGGCTATCTAAAATCACGGTTTCTACTACTCTGCATTTAGATTAATCAATGATTTACCCAAGAAGTGTGATTTGCCGTATATATAGCCAAAACATTATTGCGTTGTTCTAGGATATCCTTATAAATTGAAACAATATCGGAGTCTAAAATGATTTACAAAAATTAGATATAAAATTGTTAGTGACTTTACCGTGACGTTTCAGCATATGAAACCGAGGTTCATCATCTTTGGCATCGTTCAAATCAATGATCAAAATATTATCTTTAGGCACATTAGAGCTACTCAACAGAGATCCAATAGACAGTTCTGTTACTTCCTTATTAAGCTGTTTAACAGCTTTAACTGGATTTTGTACATAAGGTTTGTAAGCAACGTGACTTCTAAGTTTCTTCAAACCGTGGAGATTCGGAAATGCGATTTCCCCGTTTTGGTCATGTTGAGCAAAATCTTCAGGACTCAACTAAAAATCTCATTTACCTAAAGCATTTTTAGTAAAAAAAAAACTTACAGTGGGTTCCACAAACACAATTATGTAAGGATCCTCCTTCAAATACTCCAAAAGGGTGTCTTTAAACGAATCTTGACTGATTTTGTGCAAAGCAGGTACTCGTTCTGACAACCTGAAACCAAGTCATATGACTTCAGATTCTCATAATTAATACATTTTATGAATCGAGCTCTTCCAAAACAAATCAATATTAAATGGAAACTAATTCAGGACACATTGTTCTACACGAATTTATGTCGAAACCTATATAATATAATAAATAACTTACTTGGTAGTCCCCCACATATAAACAGGTACAAATTCTGCACTACTGACAAGGTTTATGCTTAATACTGTTATTACAAAAATTAAAATGTTATAATAAAGAGCCATTTTGCTAAAAAATAAAATTAAACTTTGCTTTTACAAGATCACGTGAATTTTGGGAGTAGCAAACATTTGACAATCAGGTGTAACAAATGACTGGTAAGGAAATCAACGTCAGAGACCTTACTTACCAAATAAAGGCGGCGCCATCTCGTAGACAGTAGACTAATAAGACATTGTTTTTAATTAAGTACAGTTCTTAAAGTAAATTAGAATAAACTTGACTTTAAAGTGTTGAAAGTGTTGATCTATTTAATGATAGAGGTCGCATTAACTATATAATTAAGCAGCGTCATCTCGTAGGCAGAAGCCTAAAAGGTTATTGTAATTAATTACAGTTTTGGTTAAATTATTAAACTTGAGTTCAAAGTGTTGGTCAATATAGTAGTAGAGGTCGCACCAATAAAATAATAATTTTTTTTTAATTAATGTGACTATTAAAGAGTATTAAGGGATAATAAATGGTTGTGATGACATTTATTTATTTATACGTAGAGATATCTACAGATAATGTACATAGACATATTATACAAATTTTTAAATATATATTTATTATTAGTAACATAAATATTTTAATTTTAACATTACGGTTTAACACCCTAACAAAAATAACGTGGTATTCCAAAACAAAATATTTGTTGTTAACAACATTGGTTGTAACAATAGGAATATAAATGAACCGTCCGCAGATGCTTATAATCACCACCAACATTAATTTATTACCTACAGTGTTGAAATAATGTCCAGTTTGCTATAAGTTTTTCTAATAATATCAATAATTGGTGATTAAGTAGAAAATCAAATTGATAACAACAATAAAAAATTTGGATGGTTAGAAAACATATCACAAAAAAACTAGAAGAAATTGTCTAGGATATGTTGGTAAAGATTAGAAAGGCTGATGATGTCCGAAAATGCCGAAACTTCAGCTAAGCTATAGTAATAGTGCATAATAAAGTACGGTGCGTTTACATAAATGCGTACAAGTAAATGAGCTCTTTCCAATATATCCTTCCTTACATGAAGATGCGTCGGAGGTCTGTCGGGGCTGTAATCATACTGCATTGAGGGCAAATATTTTTACTACCCTGCAAAGAAAAATCGGTAAAAATGCCATCGTTTCGAGTTTTTTCGAATACTTACTAAGGCATGTAACCAGCAGTCCTCGCAATGCACATGCCAGCAAACAGTTGAAATAACCGGTTTCTTGTAGTGCTCCTAAACAAATTCACATAATGAGTAATTATTGACGTGGAGAAGCTCACAAATCTCACCAGACATATTAAACATTTATAGTCTTCGGTTTCGGTGCTAGTCGCCGTCTCTCCCGCGTTCTCGGTTAGGGGCCGAATCCTATTTCTTAATTCCTCTAGCATTTGCGTCCTACTACTGGGCTCAGCATCCGATGTGCTCACATTACTGTCACTTTCCACAATTACATCCATTGTAACCTCCACATCCCCGCTTGAATTCACAGTGGCGACTTGCGACTGCACCCCTTCTTTTTTGCTACCCTTATCTTGCGAGTTTTTGATAACGACGTCACTTTCGGTGTATTGAGACGGGCCAAATGATGATTCTTCCGGCTCGTCGCCGTCGACGATCACGTCGTCACCCTCGTTGTCAGCATCTGAAGTTACTCTCCCGGTGCTACTACCAATACTGTTTCCATTGGGGGCGTTGGAAGTTGAAGTTGAAGTTGAACTTCGGCGCTGATTTTCAGCCCACTCTTCCAACTCGGAATCTCCTTCCACGTCCACGGTCTCGTCTTCGTCATTCACAGAATTCTGAAAGCACATTTCAGCAAAAAATCATTAAACCAACCCCAAATTGCACCTTTCGACATTGTTCCACATGCAGATTGAGTTCTTCAGGAGTTCGATGTAACCGTCCCACACAAATCAAGCAACCTTCGTCTATTTTTCGTTTCCGGGTCTTCATCCGCAGCCGACCTTGTCGATTTGATTTTATTCTTTGGAAAGTCTAAAACAACGATAAATATAAAACACTTTACGACATTTTTCAAAATTATTCTATTATGATGTATTATACAAAGAAAGCCAATTCCACAAAAATTCCAATTAAAATTCTTTTATTGGCTGTGTCAGTTTTAAAAAACGGGACTAATTTGGCACATTTGGCAGCTGTGCATAGTTTTGGCTGAGCAAACGAATTGCAGAAAAAGTGAGAATTTTAATTCTTGAGCTAACCTCCCACCGTCCTTCGGGACCGCTGTCACCTGGAAGAGCAGGTGGACGTCCCGGTTCTTGGCGCCTTTTTCTGGTCGCTGCCAATCCCGTCCCACTAATCTTACATAATACTTCCAATTCCTGTCCTAAATGCGCTTCTAAATCTCCTGGTGAAATGGTCATACCGCAAATAGGGCAGCAGGAAGGGTCCCGTTTTTTCTTATTTAGTGCTAAATCTGTAAAAAAGTGTAATTAGTTGTTTTAATGAGAAAAGTTAGAGTGTGGGGGTGGAGAGTCGCAGTGCAAAAACAAAGAAAACTAAGATACAAAAATATATCAGTTTCATCTGCGTGATCCGACGAAAGCCGTGAAATATATTAGCATTTGTCATGTTAATAGTCACAGGGGGCAGATTGGCGGATTTGGCGCTCAGAAGGGCCGGGGGCCCGCATGTCGCCACACCTGCGGGCATCGGCGTCGCGCTTACCGAACTTCGCCGATCCGTCAGAGGCGCACATCATTCATGGGATTAGCCGGGCTAACCTTGTTAATTGCCCGGCTAGACCCGTGCCCGTGTGTACCCCAAACGTAAATCAGCACCGGCTAAAAGGGGATGAAATGAGCTTAAGTCATCAAGCTGCTCGAATTTACACCGCCCAACCTGCTCTAAGACACAGACCTAACTGTGCAGTATGCAGAATGCGAGAGCCTCTCTAACACCAGCTTTGATTTACACTTTCAAATGCGCATCGATTCTTCTAATCCGAACTAATTCTCCACCGGCACCCTCGCAACATACATCCAGCCATTCTAATATTTAGGCCACTGAAACAACTCACACTCCCTTCGGTTTCTTACAACAAACAAAATATACCGTTTTCAAAAAAAATAAACTAACTAATAATAAACAACCGTTTGATTGTGGTGTTTGATTTAGAATAAAAATGTTGAAAAAATCGCGTTTCTTTTTGCTCTATTTGTAGGTAGATTTGTAGGTATTTATTTTTTATGCAAAATTCATATTGAAAAAAAAATAAGGATGTACCATTACCTATTACCGATAATGACAGCATATACAGAGTGCGCCAGAACTCGAGCCCCAGAGAAAAATGCCAGGTAAGGTAAGATATCAGAAACATAACAAAAATGTTTAAAAAATTCTATCAATAAAAATTTCGAAGTTATGAGAGTTTAAATTCTGCACTTTGACTCTATTTATTTCTTGGAAAAACAATTTTTCAAGTTTTTTTCTACAGACTATTAGAAGAAGAAACAATTAAGCTGTATCTAAATTGTAACTCTGTTTAATGTTATTTGTGGCTTTTATTAGCAAAATTTTTGTACCTTTACTAAATAATTATAAAAAACATACATAGTGCGCCAGAACTCGCGCCCCAGAGAAAAATGCCATATATGGTAAGATCCCAGAAACATGGAAAAAATATTAAAAAAAAATTATCTATAAAAATTTCGAAGTTATGAGAGTTTAAATTTTGCAGATTGCCTCTATTTATTTCTGTTGGAAAAATAATTTTCCAAGTTTTTTTTGCTGTAGGCTATTAAAAGAGGAAACAAGGAAGCTGTATCCTAAATTGTAACTCTGTTCAATGTTATTTGTGGCTTTTATTTTATTAGCAAAATTTTTGTTCCTTTACTAAATAATTGTAAAAAACATATACCAGATCATCAGTATCATTAAATAGACATAAAAAATGTTTTTTTGACAGGTAGAACTTTTTAAACATTCTTTCCATGTTCCTGGTATTTTATCTTTCTTAAAACTTTTCTCTGAGGCGCGAGTTCTGATACAGCCTGTATAATTACTATTACTATTTAACTTTAACTGAGGTGTGCCGCTACACATAGTGTTTCAAATAAATGTAGGTTACCACACGTATTTATTAATAACTATTTTGATTTTACTTTATTATATTTCTTATATTTTTTGGCTGATGTTAAATTTCGTTTTCTTTGATTTGTTATGCCTAAAGAAATAAGCTGAGGAGTTTGGGCCACGACACTCTTTATAAAAATCGTAGACGACTTTAATGTTGATAATATTTGTAAGTTATTTTTTGCTAGATCTTGAAACTTGAAATTTTTAAGAATACCTAATGATTGGCCTTTATAGTTTTTTAATAACGCTGAATTGCGAGTAGCTTCAATTAAGCTACCTTGTGTAATTTTCGATTTAAAAGGCCTCGTTAGAAATAAAAGGAACGCTAATAAACAATAACGATTTTAATAAGAGTTTCAAGTGCAGGGAAGTTCGCGAGAGGTCTCAGAACTTTAGATTATATCCGTGCCTTTAGACAGACAATTTCAAACGACTGTTGTTAAATGCTCGCTGGCCCACTTAGTGTTTATAACAGATTTAATTAATTAATTTAGGCGCTCTACAGCCTTTTCGTAATCTTACAGCCAGTTATTACTTTGTAAGTATAATAACTGTAACACTACTCGACAATTTGAAAATTAATATCTTCATAAAATGCCCCTTGCTGCGAACTGCCATATTATTTAAGAGCGTGTGTCGCCCTTATGAAAGCTTATGTTCTTATACCGCTGCCTGCTGGAGACATGAAACTATACCTGTGGATACCCCACAATTTATGACAAGGCAGATTATTATTTTTCTAGCAGTGTGTGAACACTGTGAACCGCATTCATTTGTATTTAGCACTTTTTGAACAAGATAGATTTTGGTTGAAATTGCTTCGCAGGTATGCATTTGGTAACATATGGTGTCAGCAGGGCTAATCGCGTTATTGATAGACAGTTGTGCCACCGTATACATACACGAGCCTACATTATCAGAATATTTTTTCTCCTAACATCATTCAACAAGCTGAAGCGTCATTATCCAATTATGTTGAATAATCGAATTTGATATTGTAAAAATGTGCAGGCTAAAAAATGGGATGACTGCTGACAGCTGTCATTCACTTAAGTTGTTTATAGTTTTGTTTGATGTGCATAATATGTACAGCCGCATCAATTTTGAGAAGATATCTTTAGAAAAACTCGTATATTCAGGCTGTTCTTATATTAATTTTATTGATGGAGCACATACCAATAAACTCGTCTACTTATAACTGAGAATGTCGACACCACTAACGTTTAATAAAATAATAAAAAACTCGAGACACCTTTTTCGATTCAATTACCAGTCCTGCAAGCTTATCCCAATAAATAATATTTTAAGAAAAACTACTTAAGTTAAGGCGCATGCGACTTTGCTTGATGACAACGTATTGAATAAAGGAAAGCAAGTTGATTTATTTTCCCATCACGCCCTGCTGTCCACAAAACAAGATATTAACAAAGTTTTGATGCGGCTGGACATGAGGGTAGGTATATAAAGCTATTAATTTCGAATTTATCCCAAAACTATCGCCATTTACATAAACCACGAAATGACCTCGATTTTACCAAATTCCGCATCATATTAAAAATCATTTGCTTATCTTGTGATTGTTCCATCAAATGACTTCGATTCATAAACATACTGTGACAAGCTCAAATGATTACGCTAATCACTAATTTCACTTAATTTAGATTAAACTACTGAATAAATCCAACTGTTGGCTTTATTTCAGATCATGTTTTAATCTCACCAACAAAAAGCTATTTGACAGGTTTAAGATCAGAACATATGGTGGATTCGATATTACATTTATATTAACCATGCATATGTTCCAACACTTTAGACATCTAATTTGTTCTCATCAAAATTGCATCACTGACGGCATATTACCTAATTCTACGATTATCACGACGCTAACGAAACCGCATCTCAAAATTGACATTGCCCACCGATGTAATCCTAAATTAATTAACACAATAAAATACTTGTTTTTTTTTATTTCATACTGCAATAAAAATCTGCTGAGCGTTTGTATGAATGATTATGCCGGCGTAAATTCACGCGAATATATAAATTTGAACGGGGAATGAAATATTGTTTTCTAAAATAAAGCGTGACAGGTCTACGAGGAAATATGCATATATTAAAGTTTTTCGTGGTGCAAAAAAGCAAGTTTGTACGTTTGGGATTTGGTTGGTGATTCGAGTTGGTGTTTAACATCAAACGGCTGCTCGCACCTCTAAAGCGTAGTAAATCCTTTCCCGGATTTGTAAACGAGTCCGGGTCTAAACGCCTGTATGTATGAGTGACCATTTATCATTCGTACACCCCCGCCCTGACTCTTTAGACACCCTATTTCAGGAGCGTCGACCGTCGACCACCGACCGTCATCATATGTGATTGTTCCCTATTTCCTTTGCATTTCTTCAGCAATGCTTGTTGCTGCGTTTTATTACACGTCTTTTGTGTTTGGATTGTTGCATGTTTAGGCCTCCATAAAACGGGATATGTTGGAAATTTATGGTCGAGGACGCTAAATATCGAATTAAAATGTTTTAGTGGCTGTTTGATTAATTCGCGTGTTTCGGACGTTTTCGAGTTTGGATGTGAGTCAAGAAAAAACAAGCACTTGGAGAGTATGTATATGAGAACCGATAAAATAAATCCATGAAAAATGTAGCAAATGTCTTAACATAAACTTGGATGCTATTGTTTCCGGGCTGTAGGGTTAACAGAGCGGTTGGAGTTGGGTAGGAAGCAATGGCGTGCGGTCCATTTCCTCAGAAAACTGTTCTTCACACTCACATGTTCTCATATTCACACATCTACCCTACCGCAAACTGCCCTTAGACCCGTTCATATTATGTCCCCGATATAGATATAGACTCATTTGAATATATAAAGCCTCCTTTATACACACTTACGAAAACCTAATACCCCCACCGACAAAATTATTCTCCTAGCTATAGATCCTCGATCCTCTTAAAATATTGCTTGAAGAAATTTTCACGAATTATTACACACCGCATGACCTCAGACTCGCTTCTTTATTGCTCGTAAATTCAACTCGTTTAATTTAATAATAAAGTAATTACATACATCCATGCACAAGATTTACACAGATATAACACATGATCGATTTGTGAATTGCACTACTTAATAACCAACTCACGCTTCACTTAAAGCCGCCAATCTCCACTGCCCAAGCCAAACGGACATTCTCGCCCTCTTTCAAACATTGTTAGCCCTATAAATCCCTATGTCATTTTTTCCCAAGATTATCCCCACGTCTACAAAAGCCACTTACAATCATACCGCTTTTTATGAACACCTTACATCCAAACACCAAAAAATACATTTTTACTCAAA